CCGGCCCGGTGGACTCCCAAGTCCTGGGCAGACGCTGCGCGGGCTCGGGCGCTGGATGGCTTTGCCCCAAACTGTCGATTTCTTCGTCCTCAGTGCCCCTGGGTGCCTCCGGCTCCGTGTTCCCTTCCCTGTGGTACGTTTTGCATGTCCACAGGACTTTTCAACAAACGCCCTGCCGGCTGCGCTCCGCCTCCCGCAGCCTGCTCCGGAGACCCGGGGGCATTGCGCGCATGGACCTGGGCACGGCGGTAGGCTGTGCCCTAAGTTCTCCTCCTTCTTATCTCAAATGATGTTTCCGGTCTCCTGTAACTGCCCACCCCAGCCACATTTCCTTTCGTTGATCAGCCCACTTATTTCGGATGTCCTTCTTTCCCTCTTAAAGTTGTCATGCTGCCCGTTCCTGTCTTCCCTAACCCCACTCTCCCCATAGGCACACGTCCACAGCCCATTTGACCTGGGTCTCGAGCCCGGCTGGCGGGGCTCGGTGGTTGAACGGCGACCTATGAGCCAGGAGGTCATGGTTCGATTCCCCGTCAGGGCACTTGCCTGGGTTTCGGGCTGGATCCCCGGTGTGGGGCGTGCAGGCGGCAACCGATCAATGAGTCTGCCTCATCATTGATGTTTCTATCTCTCTCTCCCTCTTCCTTCCTTTCTGAAATCAATTAAAAAAAGAAAAACTTAAGCTCTAACCGGTTTGGCTCAGTGGATAGAGCATCGGCCTGCGGACTGAAGGGTCCCAGGTTCGATTCTGGTCAAGGGCATGTACCTTGGTTGCGGGCACATCCCCAGTAGGAGGTGTGCAGGAAGCAGCTGACTGATATTTCTCTCTCATTGATGTTTCTGACTCTCTATCCCTCTCTCTTCCTCTCTGTAAAAGAAATAAAATAAAATATAGAAAAAAAGAAAAGAAAAACTTAAAAAAAAACCCCACTGGGTTTCGAAAACCAAGCCAAAATCGTCCAATGCTGCTTTCATTTTTGCTTCTAAGTCCAGCCCCCTGTGTTTGTTCTCATGGTCTGGGGGTCGGGGCGGGGTGGGGGGGGGCGGTCAGGTTCAGAGCATGGCTGGGAAGGGTCTTTGGGAGCCAGGGGTGTCCTAGGAGGGACAGTTTTGGAGGCTAAAGCCAGAGGACACACATTAGGGCTTCCAAAAGGGAAGGGGAAGAACTTGTCAGGGGGCAGGATCCTTAACGTGGGCATCTGTTTTGGCAGGATACGTACTATCAGCCCCGGGCCCTGGAGAAACATGCGGACAGCATCCTGGCACTGGTACGTCTACCCTGACGCCTGGGACTACTGCCTCTTTTCAGCCCCAGTGGCCCTCCTGACCTTTCTCCTCCCCAGCCTGGGAGAGGAGTGCCCCTGGGGTGGGGCCTGCTCCAGGCTCGTAGCTTACCTCTCCAACACACACAGACACACTATCAAGCGCGTGCTTTCTTGGCACTCCCGTTGACTGTGCCCACTTTCTCTGGGGCCAGCCTGAGCTATGAGGAAAATGTGTTTACTCTTGGAACCATCCGCAGGTGCTGAGTCCTGCAGTCCCCAGTGACCTGTCCTCCTGGCAACTAACCTCTTTGGCTGCAGGGACAGCTGTTCTCTCTGGCAGGGTTCCTATGGTGATGTTTGTGCATCTCTTGGGGACCAGGCTGTCCTGAGCAGGAATGGATTAAAAGACTTGGTTAACTCGAGTAGAAAGAAAGCTTGGCCTCTAAATGTGATGGATTATGTCTAGAGATGATAACAGGAAGAAAGTAGAACTTGTACTTACTTTTACCAGCCTGTTATGCTCTGACACATTGCCCTCAACAAATATTGAGCACCTACTGTGTGCATGATGTCATGCACAGGATAGGTACGTCACATAATATCCCTCAGGTTATCCACTTTGCTCAGAGCCTAGGCCTGGAAACGGCAGGGGAGTGCGTGTGTGTGTGTGTGTGTGTGTGTGTGTGTGTGTGTATTGATTGCTTGTCCCTGTCTTCTGCTGCAGGCTTCAGTCTTCTGGTCCATCTCTTATTACTCCTCTCCCTTCGCCTTCTTCTACTTATACAGGAAAGGTCAGTGTGGTTTCAAAGGTGGTGGGACAGGAAACGGGCAGGTGGTTGGCAGATGAACCGACCCCCTAAAGAAGAAAGGGGACCTGCAAGGATGGCTTCGCTTCCGTCTTCTCTCGGCTGTCCCTGTGAGGGAGTGTGGGGCTGGAGGTTGGGGGGACTGGGAAGAGCATCTGAGGGCAGTGGGGAAAGCTTCTCACATGGCTTCTCTCCCCTCCCAGGTTACCTGAGTCTGTCCAAAGTGGTACCGTTCTCTCACTATGCTGGGACGTTGCTACTACTGCTGGCAGGGGTGGCCTGCCTCCGAGGTAGGTGGAGAAAGAGCCTGGTTGGTATCTATTCATCATTGGTAAATATTTATACAGCAGCTTCTGCAGTTTTGTGTTGGGCCCTGAGGGAGAATAATTGAGAATGGTCAAGGCGTGATCTTTTCCTTAAAGGGCTTGAGTCCTAAATATGAAAAAATAATTATGAGAAAAGTTTGCTATTAGCTAGAAAAGATGCATATACCCTACAACTATTCCACATATACTCATACCTATGTTTGTAATAATGCTAAACTGAAAACAACTCCACAGCCACAAATAGTAGGGTGGGTAGATGCATTAGGGAGTATAGTCCTAGAGCAACAAACTAAAGCAATGCAAAGGAACAGACTCAGCTACACTCAGCAATGCAGATGAAGTAATACATGCAATGCTGAAGGAAAGAAGCTGACTGCCAAATAATTTATGCAGTATGATTCCATTTATGTCAAGTTCAAAAGGGAAGTGTATGTAAGTGGAAAACCATGGACATTGTTATCTTGTTTTTCATTGTTATCTTTTAAAAATATATATATATTTTTTAATGTATGTTTTTTTATTGATTTCAGAGAGGAAGGGACAGGGAGAGAGAGATAGAAACATCAATGATGAGAGAGAATCATTGATTGGCTGCCTGCTGCACACCCCCTACTGGGGATTAAGCCGGCAACCCCGGCATGTGTCTTAGACTGGAACAGAACCTGGGCCTCTTCCCCGGTCCTGTGCTCCTCTTTCCCAAAAGTAACCACTGTCGTCGGGTGTGGTTTTTTCCTGCATTTTTTTATCCTCACTGAGAATATGTTTTTATTGATTAGGAGAGAGAGGAAGGGGAGAGAAACACTGATTTGTAGGTCCACTTATTTCTGCATCATTGGTTGATTCTTGTATGTGCCCTGACCAGGGATCGAACCTACAGCCTGGGTGTGTCGTGACGGTGCTCCAACCAGCTCAGTACCCAGCCAGGGCTGCACTGACATTTTTGTCCTGCAGCTTGCTTCGCTCTCAGCATTGCTGGGTGCTACCTCTGATGACACACCGCATTCTAGTTCATTCTAGTTTTATTTTCTTTGTAGCACTTATCCTTCTCTGAAATTTTCTTGACTGTTTTTTGTCCTTCTCCAGCCCCACCCAGCCCCCAACTAAAGTGGCAGCTCTCTGAGGCCCGGGCCTTTGCATCTCATTTACTACTGTCTTTCCCATGTCAGAGCAAGGCCTGGCACCTGTCACCTGTTGGGTCATTGGAAGGACAAGTGTCAGGTTTTGAGGCTCCTTGACAGTGAAGGGAGAGCGGATGCGATCACTAAGGGGCCGGGTGAAGAGCAGAGGGAACTCAGCATTGAGAATGGTTCTTGGTTCAGAGAGGGAGGTAGCATGGCAACCAGGGAGGAGCAGTCCAGGAATTGGAAGGTGGCAGGAATGGAGGAGGGACAGGGAGAGTGCTGAGACCCAGGTGAGGGGCTGGAGGCTGGAGGAAGGGGACTTGGGCCCAGTGAGGAAGTAATTATGGGGCAGGAGCCGTGAGGCAGATGGCAGGGAGCGAGACTGTGCAGAAAGCGAGCGGCAGGCGTTGGCGAAGGACGGCAATGGGAGAGGGACCCCAGTGTTAGCGGGGCCGAGATTGAGGGTGCGTGGCTTCTTCAGGCTGGGAGAATGCGCACTCAGGGTGGGCGGTCAGCAGTCTGGGAAGAAACAAACTGAGGGCCGAGGGGGACGTGCTGCGGCCAGTGCTGGCTGTGCAGGGGGATCGGCTCGCCCTCCGTTTCTCCAGATCTGGGACCCTTTCCTCTCATTTCTCCTCCGGGGCCTTCTGCTTGCCCGTCTCCTGTTCTCTTCCTGAAACCTGCTCATCTTGCTTCCCTCCACCAGGCGTCGGCCGCTGGACCAACCCCCAGTACCGGCAGTTCATCACCATCCTAGAGGCCACACATAGGAACCAGTCTGCGGAGAACAAGGTGAGAGAGTCCAGGGCGGGTGCCAAGCAGGTGCCGCTACTGCCAGGGGGAGGGTGTGCCCGCTGCCCAGGGACCTGTCACTTCTCCTTTCTGCACGTGAACTGTCCGCCATGAACTTTTCCTTCCTCCCCTTCTAATGGAGTATTCTGCCAGAACAGTCTCCTGCCCTCCCCCTCCCCCCGCCACCTGCAAGAATTGCCTAGATGTAGAAACATTGGCGGGGTTTCTGTCCCAGAGCTCAGGTCAGTATATGTTTTGTTGCTGTGTGCATTGAGCTCCGTGCTAGTTTTGTTCGGGGTTGGGACAAGATGGACAGGGATGTCCACTCTTGTGCCCGGGGCACAGCGTGGCGCCAGGAGGGGAAGCCAGGGCACAGGGTCCGGGAGCGGTGCCCGCCGGCCAGGCTGGAGTGTGATTACCCTTGAGAAGGGCGCAGGACCCTGTGAAGCTCTTTCCTGCTACAGGGCTTTCTGGGGCCAAAGGCCGTGGCACCGCCATTGAGCACACCACAATTTGCCGTGCCCTGCAGTCATGTGACTGGCATGTGTGCTTTCTAATCCTCACAAGAACCGCATGAGGGGCCTCACCACCCTCACTCACCCATCGGAGGCAACAGGCAGCGGACGGTGACCCTGGCCGAGCCCGAGCCGAGGAGTGGCTGGGTCTGAATTTGAGTCCAGTCTGAGCAAAGCCTGCCTGGACTGTGCTTTTCTTTATTGTGTTTTGTTTTTGCTCTTTATATTTTTGTACAAAATTTCTGTTGCTCTCTTTGAGTCAAGTTATTTTTGATCAAAAATTTCTCTGACAGAAAATAAGAAACAACTCTCAACATAAAGTAGAGCACTGGGATCTGGGGGCGGGGAGGGACACGGAGGGGAGGGAGGTGGCCCTGAGGGGGCAGGCAGAGGGCTTCCTTCAGGAGGCGCCCTCTCCCCTCTCGGAGGGGCCACTCTGGACATGACTTCCCTCCTCCCCTCTCACCCAAGCTTGGGGCAGCCAGTCTGATCCACTGGGGATTTCTGAGCCTCCAGACAGCAGAGGCGCAGGACCCAGGTGGGGAAGGGAGCAGGACTGGCCACAGCGCCCCTCCCTCAGAAACACCCGCACCTGCGGCCGCCCTCCTGGGGCCCAGCGGCCTTGGGTGTTGGTGAAGCGCAGCTGGAAGCGGGCAGACGGCGGGCTGGTTCCCGACAGGACACCCTCGCTGGATTGTCCGGCCGTCTGAGCCAGGAGGGTCGGCCGCCGCCGCCTCCCAGGCTGCCTGAGGGCCAGGCCCCAGGATGACGAGGGTGGGAGGTGGGCCTTCCTCTACTTCTCAAGCCCCTTGGAGGCCCAGCTCCTTCTCTCCCCACCCCACAGAGGCAGCTGGCCAGCTACAACTTTGACTTCAGGAGCTGGCCAGTGGACTTCCACTGGGAGGAGCCCAGCAGCCGGTGAGCCGCAGCTCGCCCCTCCGTCC